TACATAAAATGAATACATGTATATTTCAAAATGATTACATGTATGTTTCAAGATTATTTCATTCATGTACGTGATTTGTCTTCTTCACATATTTTTTATTAGTGGAACAAGACCATTGGAATACTTTTATACTGTTCCTACTCTGGCTGTTGTTTTTATTACTATTATTTTTATTATTATTATTAATATTGTTGTTGTTGTTATCTTTAGGACAGATATTGTTGTTTATTATTGAAATGATTAGGAGGACTATGTGTGTTCATGATAAATGTTATGGTGTTGTGTGTTTATATTTACTACGATTTGTAACATGAATTGTGTGTAATAATTATGATGATAATATTATATTTTAACCCTTTTTCCTGCATAACTCGAATGTGAGTGGGTGGTTGGAGGGTGTCACTGGTAGGTACTAGTTGTTACCTTTCCCGTCGGTTGTTTGTGTCTGCGTGGGTGGTTGGAGGTTGTCACTGGTAGGTCTTACTTCTTTTCTTTCACTCTGTTGTTTCTGTCTGTCTGTGTGGGTGGTTGGAGGGTGTCTCGGTGCTTCCCTGTGCGAAGTGACTCTGATCATGCGGGTGTGCTTCTCTTTACTTGAATAAACCTAACCTGATGGCTTTTAGCTGGCGGGTGCTCTGGTGTGGTGTGCTCCTTCTTTCCTATCAAACATCTATCGTCCTTATCTCCCCTTCTTCTTTTTTGTGTTTGTTACTCTCTTGTAACACCTCTAATCTTCTGGCCTTATGCAGTTGCGAGCGCCGTAAAACCTCTACTAAAACTAAAAAGTAAAAACATCCGCTTTCCTTATGATATATATGTATCTCCTCCTCCTTTCCTTTGTGCGGAACTCTCTCACGACACTCCTCTAATCTTCGGCACTCATTTGACCTATTTTGTGTTGCAGATGCCGTAAAACTCTTATATCTAAACGAAAACTAGTCACTGTTACATACATTATCTCAGCGGTGGTGGACGCGTGGGCAGAAGAGGAATACGAAGGAAGCTGTGAGATTTAGAAATAATTAAATATATATATAATATCGTTTTATTTATTCTGCATCCCGTGTATAGTAGGGATTATATTGTACGGTGAGCTGTGGTGAATGGTGGGAAGACAGGAGAGTGCGCTACTGTATCGTATTGTATTGTGTTGATTTTCCACAAATATCGAACACCCTCAAACGAATTTTTTACGTCACTCAAAATAAGCTTCTTTTTGAGCTTTTTGCCGATTATACATTCCCGTTGTTGTGTGTGTGTACATGTGGGTGTGTGTGTGTGTG